AAAAATTTGTTCGCGTTTGTCTCGTTTACTTATCGAACGAATCGAACACGAACTCATTGACGAACCGAACACGAACTGTTCGCGAACAACGAGCTTTTTTGACAGCCCTAGTTATAATGACACGCTGTACATAGCTGAACATGGACACTCCTTTCCCGTGCCCGTGGAGCCATGTTTCCGCTCACCGCTGCCCACTTAAGAGCTTCATCCACACAATATATATATATATATTATATTTTTTTATCTTTGACATAGTGATTGAGAGTATAATTTTCAACTCAGAGGTTGCATATTTAAATCGTGCATATAACCCGTTAAAATTATCTTTCCGGATTTAACACTCTGATGCATGCTAGAAAATTCGTGGCGATAGAGTAATGGATTATCGTCTAATGGATTATCGTCTTAGTGTTACGTCTTAGTGTTACACGAGAATTCAGCACACACTCAGATAAAAATGAATCGAGCTATGATCACACTAGAAGTTTTTATGTGAAAAACCCGTAAAAGGAAGAAAACATGGGGTCTGATCCAGTTATAAAAATCCACCATAAGTTGATGGTTACAGATGCCCCTTGTCCCACGGGCGGAAAGGGTTACTAGCTTTCCACGTTACAATGTCAACTGATTGATGACGTCTAGTAAGCAGACGTCTAGTAAGCAGTGGTTGACGGAGGTCAGCAGTGGCTAACAACAGTCGATGACGGTCGGCGATAGTTGACAGAGGTCAGCGGTGATCGGCGGCCTTCAATGGTAGTCGACGGTGGTCGACAGAGGTTGGCGGTCTTTGTCGACGATCAGTGGTGGTCGACGGTGATCGACAATGGCGAGGATGATCTTGGACTTTAGCTCATTCTCAAAGCCTCAAGTTCTCTCTTAAGCATCCTCCCTTTTATGTGAGGGGTGAGCCCTTTTCCTCCCTTTTATGTGAGGGGTGAGGCTCTATTTATAGTATTTTGAGTGCAATTAATGCAGGAATATGAACCATTTTGATCGGATGGCCCGGAGAGCTTCTCTTGATCATATGGAGTTTGATGGACATTTGAGTGCCTTAACGATGTTCAAATTGAGCAATCTTAGGCTCGTTGGATGGCTCGTTGGATTTGTCTTTTCAATTTGTCTTTTCAAGACGCTCGATTCGACTATAAACTTGTTAGATTCGACATCCATTTGACCTTTCAAATGCCTCTAAAAATCTTGTAGTTGTTTGATCTGAGTCTGATTTGACTCCGATTGGACTAACTTTTATATCATTAAGTCTGTCTCATCGAGCCGATCAGTTTGACTATAATTTTGCTGAAATCGAAGCTCCAAATGACTCTTAATCGAAGTTTGAATGTTTCTTGTTCAAAAAATTGCACCGAGATTCGTGCTGGTTGATGAAAATTTATTGGTGGCGTATCAGTTGCCCCTCTATTTTCGAGCGATTCTAATTTCTTCGTCTAAAAATATTAAGATCCATAGACTTTTCACAGTAGACGTAAAAAATTTAGATATATATATCTTATTACTATTTGTATTAAATAAGAATAATACTTATCAATAAAATAAAAATCAGCTCAGCCTAACTCAGTTGGTAAGTGTATTTTGTCATTTACAGGTGGTGAAGGTTTGAATTTCACCTTAAACAAAAAATTTTTTACTTATAGAGTTGAAGCGACGCGGGCCTGGATCCGAATTGGAGGAACGCGTGCCTGGATCCGAATTGGAGGAATGCGGGTCTGGCCGAGCCTGGATCCGAATTGGAGGAACATGGCAGTTGAAACGGAGGAATCCGGACCGTGGGAGAGGAATCTGGAGAACAACCGAAATTAATTAATTAATTAATTAATTTAATTCGGAGAGTTGAAGGAGCTCTTAAGCAGCAGAAATTAAATAAAAACTGAAATTTAAATGTACATTTTTAGAATGTGAAGAGAGCTTTTTTTTAAAATTTAAGCCATAAAGGTAGAATTTGAATGGCGAAAGTAAAAGGAATATGAAATGAAAAGTTTTATTTTAATTATTTTTTATAATGTGTATTTAATGCTATGTCTCATATCATGCCTATAAATAGAGACATTGGATCAGGGAAAAAATCACAAGTCATGATAAGAAGAAAATTATCCGGCGTTGCGGAGAATAATTGCGGCGGAGCAAAGTGTTGTGGAGAAGAGTTGCGGTGAAGCGGAATAGTTGCTGCAGCGAGGCGGAGAGTTGCGACGGAGCAAAGTGTTGTGGAGAAGAGTTGCGGTGAAGCGGAATAGTTGCTGCAGCGAGGCGGAGAGTTGCGACGAAGCGAAGGATTGCGGAGAAAATTTACATAGAAGAGTTGCGGCAAAGCGGAACATTGTGGTGAAGCGAAGAGTTGCGGAGAAAAGTTGCGGCAAAGCAGAACATTGCGATGCAAAGTTCCGGCGAAGAGTTGCAACAAAGTGTTGTGGTACAGATTTGCGGAGAAGAGTTGCGGCGAAGTAATGCAGTGCAGATTTGCGGTAAAGTGTTGCGGTGCAGATTTGCGGCGAAGTGTTGCGGTGCAGATTTGTGGCGAAGAGTTACTGAAATTGTGACAGCTAGAGAAACTCGTTCTGTTGAGAACCAGAGAAAAATTCAGAAACCAGAGGAAGCAGTGTCGACTGTGACGGAGAGCGAATTGATTTTTTTAGAACGAAGTATTTCTTCCCAAACGATATGATACTGAAGTTACCGACTTTAACTGATCGAGCATATTCTCCACCTTCTGGGTATGTTACTATTTATGAGGCTGTCTTGAAAGTTGGCCTACGATTTCCTCCGGCACCTGAGTTTATTGAAATTATGAAGGCGTTCAGGGTTTGCGTTGCTCAGTTATCTTGTCGAGTGGTGACGGTCACTATTGGGTTGACAGTTTTCTTCAGGATTCATGGATTGAAGTTAACACCTGCAATTTTGGCACGACTGTGTGGGTTCTTTACTGATACACATGATCGTGTGTTGTTTAAGCATAAGGCGTTGGATTTCCATCTAAAGGAATCGATAAGACAATGGTCTGTAAAATTCTTCTTCGCAAAAAATGATTGGGGGCTCCGCGAGAGACGAGGAAGGTTTCAACAATTGTCTGTCTCTCCTCATATTACTGAAGAAGGAATATTGCAGATGCTGGAATTTCCTGACATGAAGGAACTGTTGTTTGAGATACAGTATATTTACGAATTTGTGAGTGAGGAGTCATTGTTCAGGACAAGCTTTCTTTCCACCCTGAACAGTCAACATCTATAGCGTTAAAGAAATCTAAGAAGAGACCTTTCGAGTTAGCCCTTGCATAATCCTCAAAGCAGCTCCCAACGAGCAATGAATGTGAAGTGCTGCCTCAGAAACAAAAGAATGTTGAAAACTCATGGGAGCCTGTGCTCCTTCAAGTATTCACGTTCCTGAAAATATATTGTCTCATGAATGTACTGGGCTCCTAGAAACCGAGAGTTTTGTAAGTTTCTCTCATTTTCTGCTACTATATAATTATTTCATCTCTCTAACCCATAATTCTCTTTTCTTCTAGGTGGATAAGATGGTAGAAAACCAATAGAGGCTAGGACTTGCATTGAGAAACTGGAATTTCGAGTTCGTTAAGGTCAAATATTTTTAGGGCGAGTACGAGCGTCGGTATAAATTTGGGGTCGAAAAAATTACATCTCTGGAATCACAGTTGACAGAGTGTAGGGTAGGAACAAAACTATCAACAAAGACAACTTCCCTCTCGTTGTAGCTTCAAGATCTGGAGAAAACTCGGGAGGGGTTGGTGGAAGCACTAGCCAGCCTTCGTGAAAGTAATAAGAGCGTGAAAGCCCTTAAGTCGACGGTGTTAGCCCAAGAAGAAGAGATCCGACTTTTGAGGTCCACAAAAGATGTCGATGTTTCAGAAGTTAAGCGTAAAGTGGTCGAAAACTTCATGAATTCGCTTAAGTTCAAAACTATCATTCAAGACCATGTTCAAGAAGGTCGTGATCATGTACTTGATGTTGAGGTAAAGGAGCAACAGAAGTGGTTCACCGAAGAAGGATTCATCCAGGGTTTCTTAAAGGGGAGTCCAGCGGCACAACGTCAAACCGGGATTGTTGTTGAGGGGCTCACTCCAAGCCAGGCTTTAGAGGACCCTTCCTCAGATTCTGATGGTGATGACATCGAGAGTGAACTAAATAAGGTATTCTTCAATGACAACGAAGTGGTGGAGAAGAACGTTGACGTCAATTAGTGTTTTACTCTTTCTTTTAACATTTTTTGTGTATTTGCTTTTGTCATGTTGCTCTAACTACACAAATATTATGATGTTGTACTAGTGATGCATGTCGATCAACTTATTTTGTTAGATGTTTGCCCCCCAAGTATCTTCGTGTCACAGTGGTACAAGATATCATTTAGAATATCTAGTATGTGAGAAGGTTACCGTGGGGATAAATCATTAACAACATTTTACTTGACTGAGATTATCTATCAGAGTTTTACTCGATGATGTTAACCTGCATAACAAAAGTCCCCCGATGACTTATTAACCCATCCGAAGTTGTTTTGTTGGAGCATTGCTCACTTACAAACCTGTGTGGAAGGGGTCAGGTGTAGCCCACCGAGGACTGTTAACCTATCCAGGGTTGCTTACCGGAGTAAAAACTCGGCGATG